ATAAGGATGCATCATGTGCATCATGCGTGAAACGAAACACAGCCGAAAACATCCATAATCAGAGTGTCTCTTATTTTCAGGTTATTTTGTGAATTTGTATATTCTCATACCTAGAATATATTATAACAAGAAAAATCGGTGTTCAAGTCTTGTTTTTTTAAATTTAATTTTAAAGCTTTTTTAAAGTTAGTAAATTATCAAATAATAATTGAATACAATTTATGAACAAAGAGATTTAAATTTAATAAACAAATTTAAAATGATCGAAGGGCTACGAGCCAGAAATTGTATAATATTTATTAGATTAAAGGAAGCAATATGGTCGATTACAAAGATAATAAACAATATAATAATGAATTTTAAAAAATAATGAACAGACGTTTCAATACATATCGTGTCATTCTTAGGGGCTACGCAGAATAAAAAGGGTCTAGGGGCTACGCAGAATAAAAGGAACAGGGAACAGAGAACAGAGAATAAGAATTTCAACCTATCAGAAATCATGTACTATGGAATACACACTGTTTATTCCACAGTACATGATTTCTCATAGGTTTAAATTCTTATTCTCTGTTCTCTGTTCCCTGTTCCTTTTATTCTGCGCAGCCCTTAATGTTCTTATTGTTAAAAATTAAAAATCAACGGTCGTTGATCGTAATAAATGTACAATTTTTAATAAATATAGTTGTTTAAAATGCATGCAGTGTATACACTGTTTATTCCACAGTACATGATTTCTCATAGGTTGAAATTCTTATTCTCTGTTCTCTGTTCCCTGTTCCTTTTATTCTGCGCAGACATTAATGTTCTTATTGTTAAAAATTAAAAATCAATGGTCGTTGATCGTAATAAATGTACAATTTTTAATAAATATAGTTGTTTAAAATGCATGCAGTGTCATCGTCGGACATTAGGATCTTAATGATTTCCCATTCTTGCGATTGTGTAATTAAATTACAGATAATCAGATATTCTAAAAATAAAAATTAAAACATGTGAACTAATTTATGGCTGTGTTGTCGGTAACATATGGTTAAACGGAAAAATGAATTAGTTCATATGTTTTAATTTTTGATGCTTATTTCATTGTGCATTTTATATTACGATGTAAAGTTCGATCTATACATAAGAATTTATATGGATTATATCTGATTAAATTATCTGTAATTTAATTACACAATCGCAAGAATGGGAAATTATAAGATCCTAATGTCCGACGACGACACTGCATGCATTTTAAACAACTATATTTATTAAGAATTGTACATTTATTACGGCCAACGACCATTGACTTTTAATTTTTGTAACATTGAGAATATGACACTATATGTGTTGAAACGTCTATTTATTATTTTTTAAAATTCGTTATATTGTTTATTATCTTTGTAATTGACCATATTATTTCCTTTAATCTAATAAATATTATACAATTTCTGGTTCGTAGCCCTTCGATAATTTTAAATTTGTTAAACAATTGAGCCATTCTTTATAATGTTTTTTAATGAACAAATTGTTGAATTTTTTCAAATAATTGGTCAATTATATCATCCAATATCAATATGTCCCTAAAAATAAAAATCATACAAATTTTTCTGAAAATTGATTATTGAATATAATTTTAAGGAATATTTGTCTTGAAGAATATTCGTCATAAGGAATAATGTCTTAAGGAATATTTGTCTTAACACTAAACGTACCGAGATTTAATATATACCTATTTGTACTGTAACCGGCCAAATAACCTGTCGTAATAAATAACGCTAGGCTACACGTGTTTATCAGATTTAACAAATAAAAATATAAATAAATGATGTAAAATTAATTGTATATATTTAATAGAAAAAGTCATAAAGTCAAATGTGAAAAGGCGATAACATTTTATGCGAATTTTCTAATCAAAAGTTTACAACCGGTCATTTGACCGGGTCATGGTACGTTTAATGTTAAGGAATCTCGTCTTAAGGAATATTTGTTCAACTTTTTATTTTGTTTTATGTTTAAGATAAAGTATTTTAAGAGAAGACTTGAAAGAAAGGTCAATAAAGTAGAACACAAAACAGCAAGACTTGAAAGAATTTCTTTGATTCTTCATGAATCTTTTAATGATGTCGTATTTAATAATGAATGTCGACAAGATTGTTCTAGTTCAAATGATGAGAGTCAAAGTGAAGATAGTATTATTCAAGAAGGTAGAATACAGGAAGATTGTACCGCAACAGTTTCTACCAATTTAGATGGAAATGATGATTACAATGATAATTTTGATGATAATAATCAATCGAATGGTAATATTGATATCAATGGTAGTGTTGGTGATAGTAGTAGTAACGGTTATGACAGCGATGATTCGGGATCTACTGAATCTACAAATTTTGATACAGATCGTGACCATAATCAAATTGAACTTTATTTTGAAAATGATAAGGAAAAGGAAGCTTATTTTATTAAAGTGTTGCGTATTTGGGCTTTGCAGAGTGGTTTACTTTCAATGCGAAAACTCGATTCGTTGCTAGCACAATTGAAACCTTTGTTTCATAATATTCCTTTGTCATATAAGACATTGCTTGACACTCCTTCAAGCATCCAAATAATGCAAATTACAGGAGGTCAACTTTGGTATAAAGGTATTACTACAAATTTAAATTCCATGAATCTTAAGAGTTATCTGGAAATTCATAAGAAAATTGTCATTGATGTAAATGCAGATGGGCTTCCTCTTTTTAAAAGTTCTCGAGAACACTTCTGGCCTCTTCTTGGTAGACTTGTTGGTACTAAAAATCAGCCTTTTGTTATTTCATTGACTTTATTTCAAAGTGCAATTGTATCTGAGCTTCATGAATTTTTGTACTACTTTGTTAATGAAATTCATTACTTAAAAGAGAATGGATATATGTACAATGATCAAAGGTTTGAATTTTGCATACAAAATTTCATCTGTGATGCTCCTGCTCGCTCGTTCATGAAAGGAATTGTAGAACACGGTGCATACTTTGCCTGTGAAAAGTATACTGTAAGAGGTGAATATGTGGATAATAGAATGACGTATCCTAACCTTAATGAGCCTCTTAGAACAAATGAATCATTTATCAATCGAGATCAGTCAAATCACCATCGGCATAATAATCAGTCTCCGCTTGAAGAACTTGGAATAGGCATGGTATCACAATTTCCTCTTGATGGAATGCATTTGGTCTATCTAGGTGTATTTAGAAGATTACTATTGGCCTGGCAAAAATGGAATGGTCCATGGAAATTACATGTAAGGACTGTAGCACAAATATCTGATGATTTGCTAGTAGGAAAAACTACTTGTCCACAAGACTTTAATCGAAAACCTAGAAATTTGAATGAGTTAAAGTATTACAAGGCCACAGAGTTCAGGAGATTATTACTCTATGATGGAATAGTAGTGCTGAAAAACCATTTAAATGAAAACATTTACAAGCATTTTTTGTTACTTCACTGTGCTATTTATATTCTTTCAAGTCCATCCCTTGTTCAGACCTTTTGTCATTATGCTGAAGAATTCCTAAATATATTTATATCTCACTCTGTTGTAATTTATGGTCAGAAATTTGTAGTTTACAATGTTCATAGTCTGTGTCACTTAGCTCAAGAATGTTACCTTCATGGAGACCTTGAAAGTTTCAGTGCTTTTGTGTTTGAAAATAAATTAAAGTCTCTCAAAGCATCTCTTAAATCTGGCTACAAACCATTACAACAAGCCGCATTTCGCGATATAGAGAGCAGTGAAAATATTGATATCATTATGGATAAAAAGGACAACCAAGTTACGCTTTCGATGAGTCATTTTTATGATAATGAAGTCCTGAATGGCCAACAGTATCGACGAATTAGCATTAACAATGTTGTACTCCAATTAAACGGAAAGGATTCATATGTTAAGATGAACAATGAAGAGGTTATTGCAATTGTAAATATAGTACAAAGAGACGACCGAGTGTTTCTGATTGGTCATGCATTTCTCAGATCTGAAGATTTTTATCAGTATCCTATTTCGTCATCACTTCTGGGAATTTGTATGGTATCTCATAAGGATGAGCAAAGAAAAATTTTCCCTATAAGCGACATAAAAGCTAAGTGTTGGATGATTCCATATGAGGAATGTTATGTTTGTATTCCTCTATTGCATACTAGCCCTATATTTAATTAATGATTTTTGCTGCTTTTTTCATTTTCTCCTTGTTATAAATTTTACTCACACATACACCTGCGCGCGCGCGCACGCACGCACGCACGCACGCGCACACGCACACACACACACACACACATCTTGTTTCTATTTTTTCTTTTTTTAATTTTATGACCTATCAGCCAATAATACAATAATACAATATATTATTATTATTATTATTAAGTACTCTTAGAGTAATTTTAATATTATTAAATACACGAGATTTTCGCTACCTTTAACCAGCGTGTGGTATATGCTCCTTCTTATTTTTATTATTATTGTATTAATACAATAATACAATTCGATACATTATATTTTAAATCTTAGCAATTTCTTAATTAAAAAAAGCAATTAAAATCTAATTTATTTTCTTCAGTATTGTGTGGTGCAAGATACAAGGGGTGCATCCAGAAGCACGACCGCTCACTGAGCGCTCAGTGAGCTCTTTCATCTAATTGGCATATTCCGTTAGATTCTAAAATATAGATCAATCAGATGAAAGAGCTCAGTGAGCGGTCGTGCTTCTGGATGTACCCAAGTAATGTCTTTTTATTAGAACAAGAATGTGCCGAACATGAAAATGAATTGTATGTTTCTGTCAATGTTTTATAAGTTTGTATTTATTATGTAGCATGCAATAGATCTACAATTTTTGATATTTTGCTAATTATTCAGATACGCATAGTGGTTTCTTTATTTAGTAATGCTTTCTTTTTCTTTACAGTTTGTTGTATTTAAATTTACTGACAGTAATGATGATAGCAATAATGATCAAATATTGTATGATACTGGATTGAGCAATGGGTGAAGAATTGTGATGAAAATATGAATGGAATAATAAAATGGCCTCCCAAAAGTATGGAAGCAGGACTTTTAGTTCGTAAGGAGAAAGACTCAGAGAACTATTGGAAAGAATACCCTATTCATATCAAGGGATATTATGGTTAGTTTTACTTTCTTTTATTTCTTTTAAGAAATTTCAGAATATATTTATTCTTAAGCTATGCTGTCAATAATCATAAAGATTTATTAATGAAACAAATTAATCTAAGAGAACTCTTTAAACTTTTGATATGGGTCCTCAGAAGGATAGGATCGCTATATTTAAAGCGGTTATATGTAGATAGCATTAGTTTTTATTATTAATGAGAGGCAAACTATAATAAGAATAATATTATGACTAACAATTATTAATCAACGCATTTGAAGAAATGAATGAATTCTAGAAGACAGTACATATTCCGTTTTGACTATAAAAACTATTTGAACAGTGTTAAATGTGATCTCGATCTAAAAAAAATATAAAGAAACACAAATCTTAGGATTTAACACTGTTCTAAAGATTTTTAATCAATACGGAATATATACTAATGTCTTCTAGAATTCATTTATTTTTAAAAATGCGTGGATTTAATAATGCCCTATAGTCATATCTTTAGCTGTAATGTAAAGAAGATATCGGGATTATTTCGAATAAAAATTTTTGTAGTATGTAAGACTGCAATACCTTAAATAACTTCTTATAAATGACTATGTACATTACAATTGTAAATATTGTAATTACTAAATTTTATCTTATGGAATTACATTCTTATATATTCTCTATGCATATTTCTCCAGCGCTCAGTTAATACAGACCCATTTTTGTAAGAATTTCTTGATTATATTAATTTTCTTTTATAGATGCCTATTTGAAGGCTTGTCAGGTATGCAACGAGTACATTAAAGATTCAAATTATGAATCTGAAATAGAATTAGGGCGAGGATTCCGGAAAAAAAGAAAAGTAACAAGACTAGACTCAGATTCAGACTCGAAATCTAATGACGAAAGCGATAAAAAAAAAAAGAAACATAAGCTTGAAGATAAAATACGTTCACCTCCTGAGATACTATTATCCGATAGCAATGTGCTTTTAACATGTAAAAATTCACAGAATTATCCAAAATACTCAATATCTAAGCAGCGTCCTAAAAAAACACAAGTTAATATTGTTTCGCATGAAAAGGATTTATCATATAATTGTGAACAAAATAAAATTTCTGACTCAGCCTCTAATTCAAATGCGTCTGATAAAAATTCTGAACTCCTTGGGAAATTGGAACAAGCGAGAAACTTTAAGAAACAGATATTTCACAAAAAAACAATTCTAGACAGAAAGAATCATTCCTCATCACACAATATAGATAGAAAAAATCAGAAAGAGGATTCTGAATCGGACAATGAACAAAATAGATCTGTTCTACAAGATGTACCATCTAATTCAGATTCATACGAAGATATACAAGAAGAGAAAAGGAATTGTGAGGATTTATCCTATGATTGTGAATCCACCTGTGAACAAAATAAAATTTCTGACTCAGCCTCCAATTCAAATGCATCTGATAAAAATTTTAAACTCATTGGGAAATTGGAACAAGTGAGAAACGTTAAGAAACAGATATTTCATAAAAAAACAATTCTAGACAGAAAGAATCATTTCTTACACAATATAGATAGAAAAAACCAGAAAGAGGATTCTGAATCAGAAAATGAACAAAATAGATCTGTTCTACAAGATGTCTCATCTAATTCAGATTCATATGAAGATATACAAGAAGAGAAAAAGAATTGTGAGGATTTATCCTATGATAGCGAATTCACCTGTGAACAAAATAAAATCTCTATTGAAACAGTCTCTGATTCAGGTTTATCTGATAAAAATTTTGAACTTATTCGAAAACTGGAAGAAGTAAAAAATCTTAAAAAACAGACACCTGATAAAAAGATAACAAGTCTAGATAAAAAGAATCATTCCTCACACAATATAGATGAAAAAAGCCAGAGAGAATATTCTAAACGAAACAATGAACTAAATAGATCTGTCATACAAGATGTCCCGTCTCATTCACGTTCATACCAGGATTTGCAAAGAAATAAAAAGAGGAAAGTTTATGATCTAACACAACAGAGCAAGAAAAAATTTCCAAAGGAGAGTTCTTCGACAACAACAAATAAATCAATTTCTTATAATAGCACAAGCTATATCACACCTGTTGAAAAAGAAATTATCATCCAGAATTCATCAAGTTCTTTGAATACTATGCTACGTTCTGATTCACTTGATACTACATTCAGCAAGTCCTCTTCATATTTACAAAGCTACGATCTTGTACAAAAAGAAGACAGTCATTGTCGTTCTCCCATTTATAGTAAATTCTTTCATTATTCTGTTCTTTTCCCACAAAAGCGTATTATTTTTAGTAGTTTGTTAATATCAAATTTTGTTATTTTTAGAATCTACGAATACTGAATACTCTTTGTCAAGAGAACATTCTATTTCAGACAACTCTGCACAATCTATTTGCAAAGGTGATTTTTTTATCTGATCTAAGAATTTTCTCACTTTTCCCTAATTCCTTTATAATTAATTTGTATTTATTTCTTTTTCAGAGCTGACCTTATTACAAACAATCATCATGGAATGCAAGAAAGAGATTAGAAAAGTGAGCAGTAAACTAGATATATCTCTCATGAACCAAGAAAATCTGTGCCGCATCATTATTCCAGGAGGAAAAGTTATAAAGCGTCCTAGTGCGATGCCTCCATTGCCTATTAATACTCTTGAAGATTTGAATAAGATGGAGAAATTCTTAGCTAATGATTACAATCTGACTGGGGCAGTAAGTACAATTTATTTTCTAGCATTTTGTATCCTTAAGTAAAACGTAGTTGTTTTGCAAATAAATGTTTTCTTAAATCCTCCTATCCGTATCTGCACTTCACTTAAAGCCTGCATTATTGATCAATAAATTACCTTTTTTTGCGGGAACACTTTGAAAAGTGTATTTAATATGTACTAATTGAAACAAATTTTTCGGGTATTAAGTAACATTATAAAAACTTATTGTTATATATTATACAAAGCATCCTTTGGAATGTAGCCTTTTGTATATTATACCTATACTTCATACATTACCAAAAAATATTATTCAATGTTGAATTGTATTATTTAATTCTAGAGAAATTGTTGTCATAAAGAAAAATTGTTATATTAAAATTAGAAATAAGACTGCTTATATGAATAAATTAACTAATTGTAAGTATGAGAAACGTCATCAAAATTAAATGTTGAAATAATACACTTATATGTGTTTTATAAAAATTTATCTCAGAAATGACTGAGCGCCGATTATTTTCGAACTTGCAACACAATCAATTTATAATCTCCCTAAATTAAATTAGATACTAGTAACATAGTTCAAAAATAATCGAGATGTATATATTTTTCAGTTAAATTTATTTAAAATGCATATAGATGTGTTATTCTAATATCTAACTTACCGTTAATGGCATTTCTCATACCTAAAATTGCTACAATATTTTTGAATTGATATGTGATGTATTATTTTCAGTTTTTATGTTTTAATACATTATTGTTCAAAATATGATTTTAGTGTTCCTATCTTGGTAAAAATATAGATAAAGCAAGTGTGGGAAATTCGGTTAGAAAAATATTGGCAAAACTTGTGACAAATACTCTGGCAACTAAATATAGTATGCAAGGTCACGGGAACAAGAAACGTTTTGATGCTTTGAAATTATGGGATCTTGTTCAAGGTAAAATCATTACGAATATTATAATAAAGAAATATATTAATAAGATTAATCCCGTTTTAGTTCAGTGAGCGCTTACGCAACATGTTGAGTCTACTACTGAACGCAGCCATTGTTACTTTAATACCATACGTTATGATTTTCTGTGACCTTTACTGTTTTTTTAATATCTATTTTATTCTATTTCTAGGAGCTCTTTTAACCCAATTTGAAATCAGCGATATTTCTGTAGCGGAGAAAAGCGCTGCAATGTGGCTGACTAACAGCTCATGGAGAAAACAGGAGGATGGTTCTTTTGGAAAAAGGACTTCAAAAGAGAAAAAGAAGAAGTCAACATAATAAAATAACTCATTACTTTTTAACTGTCATATGACGTCCGATATTCATCGTTATGATTCGTTAATAACTTAATAAATTTAATATTTATAAAGTTTAATATTTGTTAATAAATTTAATATATAGACTAA